TTGCACATAAAATGTTTCACAATTTTGGTGTAACATGCTGCGCGCGCACCCTGCGCACCCTGAATTTCCAACACTGAGTATACGTATATTAAGCCTCAAACTATAGTAATCCAAAATTGGCAATTTTTATGGTCGTGTGTAACAATTCTTTAAAATTACTAAATAATCTTTCTTTTTAGAGTAAATAAAGAAAGGGTGTAAACAATACCATTATAAACAATTATTAGTTAATTTTTATGTAGTACAAGGAATGTTCATTCCAGGTCACATGACCAAGAAAATTTTATCGCATTTTTTCTTGAAAGTACTACCATTACCATTACTATCAATAATGAGAGTCAAAATCACATGATTTCTTTAATTACTAATCAGCACTATATTTAAGGAATTGTATCCTATTAGTCCATTTTTTCGGGTTCCCGATTTCAAGATGTTCAATTGATTTTTTTAAAATTAATTTTGTGTAATAAAAAAAGTGTACAAATTTATTATTTTAAAATCACATTTGCTTGATTTCAAAAACGCATTACGCCATACAAGTCATTTATGAATGAGATTAAATGATTGCCATATATGTAATGAGTAATAGCATTAATTTGTGTCATCAATTTGTGTCACCGCAAATTAAACGCCTAATATTGCTATTGTGTGGATCGAATAGTCAGAGGTGACATTTTAAATTTTCAAGTCCTATTATTATTACCATTCCTGGACCCGATTTTTTATAGTCAAATTTGGTAAGTTTTATGTTTTTATCTTCAATGGTACTCGGTAATAATACTTAATTGTTTCCAATTGCAGCTATTTTATTCTCTTGTAAACGCTAAATACATGTAAAGGTTGAAAAATATATAAATATATATCATCATTTATCTTTTTCAACTAAAGAAAAAATTTGGAAATATTTCGCTTTCGTTCTATTTCCTTTACAATTATTAATATTGGCTAGAAAATAATTAATTATTTTAAAATAAAATGACAACACTACTATTAATATGCTTATTATTTATTATGATACCATTACCATATTATTTTTACACTTATTTGCTTCAACCTTCCAAGGAATCTGAAAAACTTAAAAATCTCAAATGCAAAGATGAAAAAAAATATGGCTCTACAAACCCCACTACAATCTCATCACCAATTTCACCAATTTCAGTGAACTTTCATTTTACACGTAGATGCAATTACGAATGTGGTTTCTGTTTTCACACATCAAAAACATCCGACATTCCAAAAATGTCTGATTCAAAATTAGCTTTAAAAAAATTAAAAAATGTCGGAATGAGAAAAATGAATTTTGCTGGTGGTGAACCATTCTTGTATATGAAGTATTTGGGAGAATTGATTGAATATTGTAAAAAAGAATTAAAATTGGAATCGGTCTCGATAGTTAGCAATGGTAGCAAAATAACTAGAAGTTTTTTACTTAAATATAAAGACTATATTGATATTTTGGCAGTTTCGTGCGATTCGTTCGATGATTCTACGAATGTAAAAATTGGCAGAGGAAAAAAAGGCGAACACTTGAAAAATCTAAAAAACATTTCAACATGGTGTCGTGAGTTTAACATTAAATTTAAGATTAACACAGTGGTTAACAGGTATAATTGGCAAGAGGATATGAATTCACACATTGAAGACCTTAAGCCCTTCAGATGGAAATGTTTTCAAGTTTTAATATTGGAAAATGAGAACGGTGGTGATGCTGGCATTGACAGTAACGACAAAACCTTAAGAGATGCGAGAGATTTTGTGATAACTGATGAACAATTTCAATCATTCATCAGTCGTCATCAACAACAACAATGCATTGTACCGGAACCAAACAACATCATGAAAAACTCTTATTTGATTTTAGACGAACATTTATGTTTTTTAAATTGTCGTGATAACAAAAAAATTCCAAGTCAATCATTATTAAACGTTGACGTCGACGTTGCTCTTCAAGAGTCAGGTTGGGATCAGGATTCTTTTTATAGAAGATCTGGCGTATATGATTGGTCTAAAAATATTGATGTTTGTGCTCAAACCAACGATAAATCATTAAATTGGTGATCACAAATATTTATCATTTTTGTTATTTATTCATTCCCTTATTTATTTGTACTTATATAGTTAGTTAGTTACTCCAAGCATAACATTAAAATCAAATTGATTAACCATCTGTGTTGTAAATATTTATATATTTCCTTTGCTTTTTTATATATAACAGATTAAATAGATAATAAAAAATATTCGTTTTATTTAAAGATTAGGAAATCTTTGTGGATGATGTTTTTTTATTGTAGTTAGTATAAAAAGTTAGTTTAATTTTTAAAAATATAAAAAAGATATCAAGACAGAGTGGAATTTGTATATAAAAACTTATATAATGATGTCATCAATTACAAATGGCATTTGTAATTATGGTTCATCAAATTCATCTTTTAAAGAAATTAAAAATCCTGCATTTTTAATTATTAGTAAATGATGTTGCAAGAAGAAATGTTTGTTCTATATATTCCTATGTTTACTATTAATAAGAAATTTTGTAAGTTAGTATCGTCTAATAACTGTAGTCATTTGTCATAATGAATTATTTTAATATTTTTACCTAGAGTTAATAGAATCTGTCTTCATTTTATTTCATCAATCAAATCAAATGTACATATATAAACTCGATAAGTTGGTCATGTCAGGGCGGACCCTTGTGACCAACTTATTGAGAGAACTGAGTTATCGAATTTCGCGTGATTTTTTAAATTTAAAATTTTTAAAATATATTTATCTTTTATCTCAAAATTAGAAGGTTGTGAAATCGATCTTTTTATACATATTTCTGAACATAATAAAATTTAATACAAATGTATTTCTTCACATTAGATAATCAATGATATAAAAATGATGATGATAAATAAATACAGATGTATTGTTCGTGATTATACATGAAGTCGAAACTATTTCGACCATTTGCAGATCTGGTCGAAATCAGGTCTTAAATAAGGTCAAAACTGATTTTTACTATATAGTTGCCTCAAGTCGAAACATTTCGACTTTGGGGTTTTAATTTCGACTTCATGTATATTCGTGATTAGACAAGAATGTTCTCTGAATTCTTGATGATATAACTGATGAGATAATAATATATTAATGCATTATTCATGACAAATGGTTGATACAATCAATGATACAACTGCTGAGATAATAAAATATTAATTCTTCTGACTCATTTAAAAATCTTTTCCACAGTGATGATTCTCATGGTGTTTACAATTATAGTTACTATAAATATATAAAATATATACCAAATTTAGGACACGATCTGGTGTTAATCAATTTTGTTTCTTATCATGAATATAAGCAAAAGCTGACTAATTTCTTTTGGATGCTGCAGATGATGTTGAATAGATAGAACACATTTTGCCATTTGAGTTAATTCAGGCACAGAATCAATGAAATACCCACTCCACCAAGTTATTGATCACTTTACCAACTGTTTTCCGAGCAAGTTTATTTGCAAAAATTCCACTTTTTTTTCCCATAATGCAAGATTTGTGTCTAAATAATTGTTGCATCATTTGAGTAAAATTTTTGAATAAATTGTGAAATATTATGCATTGAATTAGAAGTGAGATGACAGCCATGAAATGATGGGCCAAGTAAATGAGCAACTTCCATGATACGGTGATAAATGCTTTTCTATCTTTTTTCTAAAATATCTTTAATATGATTCTCTACTATATTAAATATATGGTAAAAAATATATCTTTAACATTTCAAAACTATCCACATCCAAAAGTAACACAAGAAGATGAATTGATAAAATTTCACAACAATACATATGCATTACGAAGTGATATTTTATACACTGAAAACCAGTATAAAGAATTAGAAAAAGCTTACCAGGAAAATTGTGAGGAATTAAAAGAAGCAAAATTAGGTAATATATTTTGATAAAAAATCCTTCTATATTTAAGTTATTTATTATTTATATATAAGTGTTAACAATTCAGTTTCTCAGATTTAATTCCATCAGATAAAAAGATTTGTTTAATGACTGGCATTTTATATACTAACCAAAGAAAGGAGAATCAAGCCACTATTTTTGATACTGATGAATTCAAAACCATGCTGGAAGATACAGAACCATCGCTAAAAGGCTTTTTTGACACTCTTTATACTTGAACTAATCCAACATCTAAGAGTCACATGACCAATGAAAAAATAAAAAGTGCTTGGGATGGTTTACAAACATAGTCGATCACATATATAAATTTTCATTAATAAGGATTTTTTAGGGGGTTTGCAGATTTATTATTATTTTTTTGGTGCCACAAAAAAAAAATTAAAAATTATTTTACATATTTTTTTAAGAAATTTTTTTGCTGCCACATCTCCAAATTCAGCACTTTCTTTACTACTATTATTATTACTATCTTTCTCTCGGATCTCATTGCGAATTTCAGCTAAGTTTTCTTTAGTAATTGTAACATCTTTATCTTTAGAGCAGGACATTTGCATACGAGCCTCTTGTAAACAAATTGTTTGGTTAGGATGCATTTTAATATCATACTTATTAAACATACCTTCAATCTGTTGTTGATGTACAATAATAGACCAAATTCTGTGCTTAACAAAACTATATATTAGTGGAAATTTATGAAGTTCAGATGCACTTGATTCTGCAAATATAAGAAACTCCTCAAGGAAATCTTGTTCTTTTAATGCTTCTGCAAGCGTGCAATCCAAGTTTCCTAGTTAATAGGTTATTTATAGCTCAACACACAGCCTACCCACTGACTTACAGTTGATTCTCTTGTTTGACACACAGCCTACCTGCTGACTTACAGTCAAGTTTCCTTTATTTATATATATGTATGACACACAGCCTACCCACTGACTTACAGTCAAAGATTAATAATAAAAATAACTTTTATCCTCCTGGATAAAAGGTCCCTAGGTTCTATGTAAATGATTATATCCCAAAGGCATCCCCTTGAGATGTATCTGAATAATTAAAAGGGTTCCAAACTAATAATTAAAGGTTGGCCAGACCATTAACCATTAGAAGGGCTGGGGGTCAACCACACTTAGGGATGGGGTGGTTCGGTTCGGTTCGGTTCTGGTTCCATGGAACCAGTTACAATAGAACCGAACCGAACTGAACCGTTCGAACCGGTTCTTGGAACCGGTTCCAAAATAGATGTAACACAAAATATTATTGTCAAAACTAATTTTCTTTGAAAATTTTCACTACATATAAAATTTTCTTTAAGGGTATTACTTCCTAATATGAAAACAGTCTATGTACTATCTAGTCATTGTCCATATTTAATGTTGACGATTATTTTTGTTTTGCCAATTACTAAATTGACCAATAGGAATGAAGGAAGGTAAATGAAAATGACAAAAACGGATATTAAAATATCCCGATATGGCGAAGTGGTTTTGACCTCAAATAAATTTAATTAATATTAACAGATGGTCTTTTAGCGAATTGCAAATGGTTTTTTTTGAATTGTATTAAAAAAAATGGACCTTTGGTGAATTGCAAAAAGGCTTTTGACATAAATCATTTTAATTTTAAAAAATGGACTTTTGCATGAATTGTAAAAAGAATTGTAAAAAATAGACTTATGGCGTGAATTGTAAAAATAATTTTTGAATTGTAAAAATGGTCTTTTGGTGAATTGTAAAAAAAAGACTTTTGACATTATCATTTAAATTGTAAAAAATAGACTTTTGGCGTGAATTGCAAAAAGATTTTTTGAATTGTAAAAAATGGTCTTTTGGCGAATTGTAAAAAAAAGACTTTTGACATTATCATTTAAATTGTAAAAAATAGACTTTTGGCGTGAATTGTAAAAATAATTTTTGAATTGTAAAAAATGGTCTTTTGGTGAATTGTAAAAAAAAGACTTTTGACATTATCATTTAAATTGTAAAAAATAAACTTTTGGCGTGAATTGTAAAAAAAGACTTTTGACATTATCCTAATAAATCATTTAAATTGTAAAAAATAGACTTTTGGCATGATTTTTGAATTGTAAAAAATGGTCTTTGGCGAATTGTAAAAAAAGATTTTTGAAATTATCTTAACAGATCATTTAAATAAAAAAATACACTTTTGGCGTGAATTGTAAAAAGATTTTTTGAATTGTAAAAAATGGTCTTTTGGCAAATTGTAAAAAAGATTTTTGAAATTATCTTAATGGCATGGGATTATCTTACAATAAAAGCAACCAATGTTCCATCAGAACGTGCTTTCTCAGTTGCTGGAAATACAATCAGTAGGTGCAGAATTGCTTATTGCCAGAAACTGCAAGAGCATGAAGAGTTGGATAATCAATAAAGTAGGGGTTTAGAGTGCTAGAATAATATTCTCAAAATTACTTATATATTTTTTTCCTTATGTTTTTTTGTAATTCTATACTAATTACTAATAAAAAATCATCAATGTTTGTTTTATTTTATGCACTTTTTTTTGTATATTAATATCTATCATATTCATTCATTGTTTGTCCGTTTATTCGTTATTTACATAATAATAATAATAATAATAATAATAATAATATTTAATTTAATTTATTTGAATATTAATAAGTCACGTTATTCGTATTAATCATTCCTTTTAAGGAAAGATTAACTCAGGATTTCCTCATATAGGTATAAATCACATGGTGAACGGTTAGAACTCGGTTCTGGAACCGGTTCGCGGTTCTGTGTTCGGTTCGGTTCAGAACCGCTCAGAACCGGTTCCCTAGTGGAACCGCCCCATCCCTAATCTCGAGCATTGGTATTTATATATGTAAAGTAGATATAAGTTTGTTATTTATATATATATATAATATGTAATTTATTGAAATTTCCTAATTAAGAGAACTATTCCATTAATATTTAACATGTGATTATCTCATGGGTGAAATATAACTCATGGGTTAATTATATGCGTCATATAAAAATGTTTCAATATCATATAATGAATGCGTTTAAATTACATAAACGAGTTATAATCCAGTAATATCTAAAGCATATGATTTAATTTTCCAGTGATATAGATGTATGACATTCACCATTTGAGATTGCCCAGCCCGAGATGTTCAAATCTGAGATGTGCAAATCCAAGATGAAAGTACATTGAAGGCACAATGATTTTTTATTTTATTTTTATGTTGTTATTTCAGTAACATTTTTTATATATCAATAAAGTAAGGTTCTATGTAACCATTTGTCTCGATCAGAGAAATTATGCAAATATTATGATCAGCAAAGGTAATGGATCACCCATAGAAAAACAATTAATGTACATTAAATATTGTGTTGTAGAACATACCTTATTTGATTGCTCATATTACTATATATGATTCATATTTTGAGATCTCCCATAGATAATAAATTAATTTCATACATACAAAATATTACTTGGAATTGTAAAGCTCGTCTAAATGTTATCAGGTGAAGTATAGTTGAAGTTCAGATAAGTATCCACTTGAAGTTCAATAGGAGTTTGATTGAAAAATAATTTATTATAATATTTCATAGTGAATCCGCAGTTGAAGTATACTTAAAGTTCACTTAAATCATAGTTGAAGTACTAAAATATATGAATGTGTATTTTTTTCTCAAATATTAATTACGGATCTAACCTTGTACCATAAGCAAAGTTTAATTCATGAGTCGAAAATTCTAACCTTATGAATCTAGGCATATAATATGTGGAGCATAGAGTCTCATATATAAACAATGTAAAATCGTTTTCTATCCACATTATCCAATATACTCTGTGTACGTTCTCTGGAAGATATTATAAAAAATGATTGATTGGACTGATGCCCAAACTCATATCCTAATCAATGAATGTAGAAATAGAAACGTGGAGTACCATAACCTTGGAAGAGATCGTCTCAACTTCTGGGAAAGCATCGTGATCAAAATAAATGAAGAACATAATACCCACTTTGATGGTTACCAGTGTAAAAAGAAATTCACAAACCTCATTCATGATTACATATGTAAACTCGATAAGTCGGTCATGTCGGGTGGACTCCTGCAACTGACTTATTGAATTTCACGTGATTTTTAATTTATTAAAATAAAAAATGTTAACATTGAAAATATATAATATATATAATAATAAACATCGAAAATATATAATAATAAACATAATAATAATAAAACTATATCAAAAAAACTAAGGATTATTTCTATTATAAAGATTTTCTTCTAAAGTAGGTTGCTTTAGTGAAGCATTTTGTTTTCTTCTAATTTGTTGTTGTAAATCTCTCAATCCTGAGATTACTGAACTGTTAACTTTTTATATCGGAATTTTGTTGCAAATAATTAAATAGATTTTGGATGTTATTAATGGCAATTGTATTTGATATTTGAATACTCATCATATCTTCTGCTTCTTCCTCTTCTTCCTCTTCTGGAGCTTCTTGTACTGCAGATGATATAAAAATGAGATAAAAAAATATAGATGTATTGTTTGCAATTAGACAAGAATGTTCTCCAAATTATTTGAATGATACAATTGCTGAGGTAAAAATTGTTTTAGCATTGATGATGATTTGCTAAAGTACAAATAAAGAGAGTATGTCAATTATAAATAATACATTGTGTGAGACAAAAAATCACACTTGTCTCAACAAACATGAACATTCTACATGCTCTAGAAATATTAATTAGGCTAGGTTTGTAAAGTACAGCTATCAACTTCATCAAATACCCATACACCATTGCCAAGATAATAAATCACATGTACTTTGATTGTATATTCAACTATATATAATCCAACAATAGGTATTGTTTTCAATGCTGAATGCAGGTTGTCATCAAGCATTCCTCCAGCAGCAGTATTAATAGCAACGGCACATACTGAATGTTGGACACAGATTACTTTCACTACTTTTATAAAATCAGATATGGATTTATCATAATGAGGCTTAGAATCTTGACCAGAGTTTTCAGCTGTACCAAATTCATAACCTTGTGCTGCTGTAGCATCTCATAACTTATATACCTTAAAAAAAAAAAACAATAAAATACCTTAAACAAAATAATTCAAAAATTCTTGTTTTTTTTTATACTTACTGAAAAGATATAATCACCATACTGTCCAATTTCTGATTCATGTGACCTTCTTCAATGATATCTGGAGGTAGATGATGTTAGTTCACCACTTTAAATATATAGACAGTAAATAGAGGTGAAAAATAATATATAAAATATAGTCATTGAAAGAGGTTTGCTTACTAGTGATGCTCAGCTTCATTTCTTAAAATATCCATAAATTGTTTTAAAAAATGTATGTCTAAACTCCTCTCATCACATGCTGGTACACTAATCCTCGCATTTTTTTGAGATTATTTATTTAATTTACCAAGAAGTTGAAACCAAAACTTAAAAACATTTCGAAAATACACATACCATTCTTCAATCCAGGGTTGGCAAATTGATTGGTCCATTGCCATTAATAAATTAATAAATATGGCTAAAGTGTTACATTATGGATCACTAATGGACCATACATTTGCCAATCCTGCTTCAATTACTTGAAATATCCATCTAATTTTTGCATCAGAAGCATGAGTTTCTGCCAATAAAATAGCATCTTCAAATGGCTTATCATTATTCTCTACATTAAAACTATCTAATTCTCTTGTCTCTTCCAGGAGATCAGTTGGTATCATTTTATAAGTTTCACATGTCCATAGTTATCATTTCCATCTGGTAAGATAAATTTCTCCTCTTTAACATTTTCTTTATTATTTACACTAAATTAACATTAATATTGTATATATTAACTAGAGTGATGATGAGTGGCAATAGCCACCACCACCATTCTTTTGATAAACACTTGCCTGTTTTCAAATATTTCAATAACTTCTTGATTTCTTTTTCTTTGAGTTCTATTGGACACTATTTTTTATTTTTAATTTTAAAAAAGAAAGACTTCAAAAGAATATTATTATTATTATTGGCACTTGGGGTT